TCGCTACTAGGGTGGAGGCCATTCCCACTAGTAGCAAGGAGGCTACTAGGGGGAGGCCATCGCTACTAGTAGCAAGGAGGCTATTGAGGGAGGCCATCGCTACTGGGGTGGAGACCATTCCCACCCTAGTAGCGATGGCCTCCCCCTAGTAGCGTCCTTGCTAGTAGTGGAGGCCATTCCCACTAGTAGCAAGGACGCTACTAGGGGGAGGCCATCGCTATTAGGTTAATAAAAACATAATTAAACCTTCCATGCGATTATGATACGGTTTTACAGTCCAAATGGAGGGATGAATGGACACCACAGTGGTAACCACCGAATGTGTGCGCAAAGAAGATCCAGTCGCATCCACCTATTGGTCTCTTTGTTCAGATCCATGGCCTCACAAGTTGGAGTCCCTCGGGCATGGAGGTCACTTCCAAGTAACTTATTGATGCAGGACCAGACAGACTAGTGAGCTGACAAGATGACAAGTGAACCTCACACGTCCCACCACGAATTCCTTTGGGAACTGAGGACGGTCCAAAACGACTCCTTTATCTTATGGTACAACCCCTCGAACTTGCCTCCACTCGCCCAACATCTCCGCCTCCACTCGGCCTCTCCGGCTCGATCGCCTCGTTAGGAGCAGAGTCGACTCCCCAAATCGGTCCAGGGCTCAGTCCAACTCAGCCGAACAAACGTCGAAGTGTGGACGAAGAAGTCACGCTTCAAAGGTCAAATCACCATGGTGTGTGCTGGATCCGATTCCACTGGTTTTGGGGGGTTCAGGGAGACTGACCTATAGGGAGACCCTCAAAACAACCACTGGGAAGGTTCGGAAAATTGGCTGGCGCCATTGGTGGGGGGTGTCCTTGTTAGACATGGTGACATGGCGCCATATATGAGCTAGCTGGGGTCGTTGACAGGATCTCAGTGAACAGCAAAGTTAGACTCGACATTTGAGCGATCTGGGGGAGAACTGGCAATTTGGTATCAGTATCGGTGGTTGCAAGATGGCTAGCACTCCTCTTACCAGGATGAGTCTCACTAGATCCTTAAATTTGTATGAAGCCGAGAATCATAATGGTGATGGAGGATGATTTACATTGGCCAGCCAATTCGCAAAACTTCTCCCAGCTCACTTTCAGCTCACCTTCGCTGCGCAACGCGCTACGCAATGCGTCCAATTCTGAACGCCCCGCCAAGGTCCGATTGATGTCCTTGCTCTGGACCTTGACCTTTCCGATCTCCGTGCTCGTTTGCTTGGCTTTTTGGACACTGATCAATCCGGTTTGGGATCAGAAGATGCGACCGGGCTTTGCAGCTCGGCATGGAGTTATTTGAGCAGAAGGGTGGATGGATGGGGCAGAAGGGATGGCATTTGGTCGGTTTGCTTACAATATGATGTGGATGACTGAATCCACTGAAGGTAATTAGGTGGAGTGCGTGGATGTTCTTTTCATGCCAATGAAGCACGGGATTAAGTCCAAATTCCTGTTCGGAGGGATTGGTAGGGGATGAAAAGCGGCTGGTTGCTGATGGAGGATGCTGGAGGATGAGAGGTTTGGGAGTTGGATCGGAAGATCCTGTGGATCAATGCGACTCCGTGGTGGCGACTCCATCGGTTGAGGGGGGGGGCAAAGAGCATCGGTATCGATTCAAAGTGGTAGACTTCGGAAAGCTATAGCCTCGAACCTGGAAGACGCTTTCGTCACTGTATTTAAAAAAAACATATATATGAATATACACTGGTATACATATACAGTGGTTTTGGCATTCTGTTTTGGTTTTTTTGTGGCTGCTCGATTGTTCACCTGGAAACGTTGCTTGAAACGTTTGGACACCTCACATGGCACGAACACACAAGAACGAACGCTTTGGAGTTGTGTATCGGTGTGGTGTCATGCCACACTATGTCCGTCTTACAGTAGGGCCATTGGTATGAGATCCTATGAGTGAATCCCTTTCATTTGTTCTCGGTTCCTGGACAGCAAGCACTGTGACCGATGGTGTTCTGTGACCTGTTTTGATTGAGCACAACTGTGACCGAACTTTGAGGTCTTGCTCACCGAGCACTTTGTGAACATGTGGATTTTCATCTTCGAATTTCTCATCAACCGGAACACGTTTTACCTGAAGCATGGGGTCATCATCTACGCCTATGCCCTCTTGTGCGCCAAACTTGTGTGTGTGTGTGTGTTTTTTTATACGAATGACACACGACCTGGCTGAACAAAGAAGGACTGAAACTGAAGGCACTTCGTCAAGGACACCACTCACCCTGACTCAGCCGACTTACCCTGCAGCATCCTGTGGAGCAGCATTGGATCGGCATCTCATAGCGACAAGAGGTACAGCCTTTGGAGCGTCATCCATTTTCTCGCGAAGGTCGGAGTCTCTCCAGATATGGCATGTCCAGAGCTGAGCAAATTCCCATTTCTGTGAATTTGCCAGAATCTGTCTCAGCAAAGGCATGTAAAGTTAAAGATGTTGGCCGGTCTTTCACATAGAGATTGATGTGGGTGAGTGGTTTCTTTCGGGGACACAGACAGCGAAAACCACGGATGATGGACTGTGTGGGGGGGGGCGAAGCGGTCGGTCAGGGCGACGATGTAAGAGATAAATCTAGTGGGTGGGTTTGGGGATATCGATATTTCCGCCTAAATCTTGCTGGTGTATAATATACTCAGTTTTTTTGTATGTTTAGGTTATTGCTTTATTTGTAGGGCTGCCGCACCAAGCACCTTTTGGAACTCGTTTGGAGTCGCGGGGTGATGCGTGTCCGTTCCAAGGTCATGACTACCCGTTGGATGAGTGTCCCATTTATCCTGTGCTGGATTGGCATCATCCGGCAAGGACAGAATCCTCGGATGTGGGCCAACGGCTTGTGCCAAAGCATGTTGTCTCGGCATTCTTTGGTACACTTGTGAAGAAGACTGTTAAGAGAATGTATGAGATTGTTAAGTGTTGTTGTTATCATCCAGGAGGTCATCAACAGGTTTCTTGTTAATGCGGAGCAACCAGATCCAGCATCTTTGAGAGTATTCTGTTTCACAGTGTTTCCATATGTTTCCATCTTCCATACACGGTCAGCATTTTCTGTACACGTCATGAATGAACCCAGCATTGGGGCAGCTGCGTTCGACGTTTCTAACGTTTCTTGAACTGCTCAACTCGGAGTGTTAGATCTGGAAATCCATCAGTCTCCTGGTCTATCGATCACCGTTGGATCAGCCTCAAGCTCTTTGTGTCTTTTCTTCCCGAATGCGAAGAGGTTTGGGTTCTCGTTTATCTTTGGGAGTCTGAGGGTGGAGGGTTGTTCGCTCCATCTTGTTCTTCAACCCCATTTTGAAGCTCTACAAGCACCTGTGTTAAGTCGTCTGTTCTTGTAGAAAGTCGTCTGGATGCTGCGTTTACAATGGGGTTAGATGCAAGATGGCAATATAACTGGAAGAGTGTCATGTCAACAACATTGTTTGGATGCTGCGTTTGCATGCAGGTTAGAGGGAAGGTGACCAAAAAGTGATTTGAAGATAGTCGACGTGGGTAGGTGGATACCTCGACTTGCGTGGCACTCGTGTCAGGTTTGAAAAGAGCAAGTAGAAAAGATTCGCGTAGTCTGAGCATGCTGCATCTATGTTTGCAGGCTAATCTTCATGATAATGATAGTCCTACTCTTGCGTTCTGATTGGGTTTCGGTCACCAAACGCCGCAAACTTCGACATAAATCTAGTTCTTTTGTGGACAGGGGCAATGAATTCTTGATGTAGAGCAGTCTTGACAAACATATTTATGTAGTGCGTGGACATGGTGTTTTAACATAAAACGGGTGACTTTTCGCACGCCGGGTGACTTTTGACTAATGCCGCGTTTACATGCGGCCGGGTGACTTTCTGCAAACCCGGGTGACTAAACCCCGACGCTAGTAAGTGATCAAGAGACCTGCGCCGGTCAGGACTGTGGTGGTGGTTCTGGGAGTGCTGGGCTCGGATGCGACGAAAGGTGGCAATAATGTAAAACAACGCCCCATCCTTCCAATGGATTCTTCCAGTGCGGTATAACAGATTCCAGCCTCTATCAAATTTACACTCAAACTTCCAGCAAAGAGTTTACCCAGGTCTGCTTGATGACAGTGCTCCTCCAGCTGGTTCTATGGAAGTGCACGCGCCTGCGCGATCGACGCTTTAAGGAAAGCAGCTCGAACGCAACACATCCAGAAACATCCGTTTGACATGCGGGGTGAGGCCAACTGAACCCAGAAAGAGAACATGTTGGATCACATTCATGACCAGTGTTGGACCAGTGATTGGATTGTTGATGACTGGGATTTTTGGAACACAACCTGTGATGGCCCCACCCCAAAGATGGCACAGACACCTTGCTGAAAAAAGTGAGCGAGACTGCAGAACTGGTGGCAGCTGCGGGTGGAAGAGTAATGGGCATATTATATTGTTATCAGTGTTTTTGCAATGGTTTCAAAGTATAGATTGCACAACCTCCTAGACGATCTTGAGGAACTGTATCCTCCACAAATCATCTTCAACAACTGTTTTCTATACATAATGGTTTCTATGTCACAGGGCGGGTTAACAACCTGACACACGAGGAGTTCTCAACGTGCATTCCAGCTGTCCAGCCTCCGCATCCCTGATCGCTGCTCCAAGCTTTGTACGACAATCTTATTCGCACTGGAAAAGGATCCTCCGAAGTTACAGTAAGCAGTTATATAGGCATTTAATGAACTCCTGTAATTAATACCAGTTTCGGAGGTTCAACCTTCTCTCAGGACCAAATTGTGTCTCACCACTTGCATCCACGCATCCATCATGACTTGGGACATGTTGAGAGTGCTTCCCAAAAGCTGACAGGAATATACCTGATTTCTGGGCCCTGGGTGTTTCCCTCCCTTCTTCAGCTTGCTTCCACCCTTGTGTACGCCATGAGTCACGCTCGCTTGATGCCACCTCCAGTGAAGCCCAGGTGGATTCGTTCCTCTCAGAGCACTGGAAGGGATGCGGGAGTCATCTCCAAGCCGTTTTGACTGACAGTTTGGGTATGGATGTCAACCCCAGACACTCCATGGGACTGGCATAGATACCTACATTGGGATGCAATACATGGAGTGTTTTGGAACTAGATCGTGTTCCTCAACAATCGATCGACTACCTGTGAAGTAGAGAACGAAGGGGAGTGGGGGTCGACATGTCGAACAGCTTAAACTATAGCCCATCAGCTTCTGCAAAGTTGTTGCAAGAATAGTTTACATCGCAGGCAGTTGCTTGCGATGTGGGCAGCCCAAGGAACCTTCCTGATCTGGCTGGGGCTTGTGTTGCTGCTCACTTTTGGGGGTTCCGTGATCTTGCAGGTCACAGATTGTCACAGATGGTCACAGTGTCACAAGAAAGTTCGATCTCAAACCCGAAAGTCCGCTTGACTTGTGCGAGAAGGATGAGAAGGGGGAGATGATTCACCCAAGAATGATGCGAACCACTCACCCACAAACGAACGTGATGGTTCACGTCCTGTCCATCCTGTCCTATCCTTTGCCTTTTGGGGGAAACAGGAAGTTCGGAGCCACATCTGGCGCAATGTCCAACGTCCTGAGATCCGGCCTGAGAAACACCGCGCAGATCGAGTGCGCTCTGGTGTTGAGGGCGAGAAAAGATCCCACCATCCCATGGCCAATTTCGATGATTCGTGCAGTCCATATCGGAGCTCCTGCGAAAACTCCTCTTCCAGAGTGACCCTTGCACCGCGGGCGGCTGCACCGCACCGCTTTTTGGACGCGGCGGAGGCGTTTGGGACGCCCTACAACCACCTGCGGTACCGCTACCCTGAGACCTGGAGGAGGCGCCGAAGACGTCCGGGGAGAGGGGAGTCCGCTCTAGAGTGGGGCGCAGTGGAGGGAGTGCCAGTGCCTTCTGTGAGGAAGATAGAAGAGAACATGAGAGAACAATAGGCCAGGAGTGTTTGGACATTGCAGGGTGACGAGTTGGAAATCGATCCATTGTGAGTGCCTGTGAGTTCCGCTCACGTCGTGAGGGAAAAGAAGACCTATAATAACGGTGCCTATATGGAATTCAACAGGCTGGAGCTAGATGACCACCAGCAGCTAGCAACTGGCTTGGGTGCCTTACCCTGCTGATGGATGATTTTTCAAGTGTTTGCTTGTGTTGGAAAAAATGCTGTACAGAGCAAGGGATCAAATCCAGCATGGCTCCCGGTCTAGAGTCTAGCTTCAGGTCCACATCATGCTGACGCAGATGTTTCTGGCCTTGAGGATTGGGCATTGGGACCCAGAACATGTTGACGGATGGATTTCGGGGAACCTCCCCACCTGACCTGACCGGGGGATCGGAGTCCGGCGCCCCGCAGCGCGCGCTCGACCTCTTTGGGCTCCACTCGGCTCGTTCGTCGAAACTCGGGCTCCACTCGCCCTCCAGGAGCTGGGCGCCGAGGTGAGGGCACAGGTAGGTCCGAGCCATGAAACTCGCAAGTCTCAGGTGCAGCATGCAACCCGAAGCAGTGGCCGACCCTGAGATGCCCTCATGGCATGACGATGGCGACTCGGAAGATCTCGGACTGGGCCCTGTGGAGGAATCCTTTCTCTTGGATTCGTTTGAGATGGAATCTGATGAAGAAGACACCATCACACCCATGAAGGGTATGACCCCGAAGTGCAGCAAGCGTCGCCTACGGAAGCTCTTGCAAGACAATCGTCTCCATGACTTCCTGCAACGCCACGGCTTTGACCATCTAAGCCACTCCCAGCGCTGTGGAGGTGACGACTTCAATCCGATCCATTTGGCTGCTCAAGAAGGAGATCACCAGGTTCTCCGTGCCCTGCTTCGGATCGGTGTGAACTGGCAGCAGAAGACTTCGCTGGGACAGACAGCTTTGGAGATCGCAAAGCGATGCAACTGTAAGGGATCCCATGATCTTGTGATTGAAATGCTTCGCAAGACACAAGTCTTTCAAAGTCGGCAGGTGTTCCTTCTCGGAATCTGAGCGACTGTCCCATGGTCCAGTTTTGCCCACGGACCCACGTTCCAAGGCAGTGACCACGCTTTTTGGTTTGCGATGTTAGGCCGCCCCATCATGTCCCTGAGATAAACTGCTTGCAACTCATTTTCCAGAGCGATGTTAGGTCGTTCTTTTGGAAGCAAGCAAGCCCTGGCTGGCCACCACCGACTGGTCCAATCTGCAAGTGCAGCGGCTTTGGGAAAAGGCGGGCACTTTTGGGTGAAAGGAAGTTGCCCAAAATAGGACCAAATGGGTGTCTCTTCCACGTGTGTTCATGCTCGAATCAGGTCAAGAGAGACAGGATGTGTCTCTTGACATTGAAATAGCATGAAGTTGCGTCCTGGGAGGGAGTGCGGATCCTGGAACATTCACCAAAAATTCACTTAGAGACAGTTCTAAAGAGGTTCCGTGTTAACGAGGTGCTGTGTTTTTTTCTTTCCGCAAATGACGGACATCTGACCCTGGGTCTTCTGAGAAAGGGCGGAGTCGAAACCTGAGAGTCTGCACTGAGACTCGGTCTCTACAAGTGACATGAAACAGGATCCGAAATCAAGATGCAAATCATCAGAAATCTAGCAACCTAGTCACCTCTCCATTCTTTTCAGAGGAGTAACTCCACTCAGTCTTCGTCAATGGCCCGCCTCGAGGGGCCTAGAGTCTGCGGCCAGGCTGGTGGAAATGCAAGAGAACAGAGATCCGTGCCCTGATGGTTTGGAGATGAAGACGCGTCTCAACTGCATGCGTGGTGTCAGACGTAGCAAAGGTCTGGAGATGGAGCACTCGCACTCGTCTCCGAGTCGGGTCGGAACGAACGCGGCGTTCAGGGGGGGGACAGGAACGAACTGGGAATGGATTCATTGTTGATCACCTGCGTGTCGCCTTACAGCACCACCCTGAGATCAGATCATTGCAGTTTCTCACCTTCCAAAGTAAGAAGTTTCCTTGTGCATGTATATACTTTGCCAACAACCGCAGGGCCTCAAACATCCTGAAACAGGCCTCAGATTGATTTAGAAACATCACAAGTTCCTCTGACTGGGTGATCTTCAGTTCCTTTGAGCTTCGTTGTCCGCGGACAACGCGTCCCTCCGAAAATCCACGCCGCATGGAAACCTGAGAAGCTTGGAAAACCTGAAGAAGTCTGCTTCGCTGCCGTGCGTGGCTAAGAAGTCCAAGCACAGGTGGGGGCGTTCTGTTTGGGCTTGGACCGGCCGAAACCGCAGGGCCGTGTGGATGACGAAGGTTCTTCGGCATGAGATCGGTGGAACGGTGGAAGGGTTGATCAACAAATGGGGTGCCAAACCGGTGGATCTTCAGGGTTTGCACAGGCAGGTAGTACAGATCCACCCCGTGGAAAAAGTAGAAATAAAACACAGGTAGTGCGTTTCTATGTTAGTCTTCGGGAGTGTAGTTCGTCTGGCAGAAGGCAGTGCGGTTCTTAATGGTTTTTGGGTTTGACATTGAAGGGTTTTGCCGTGTTTCCACGGCTTGCTGGTGTTCGGCAGTAGGTGAGGCCATTTTTCAGGGTGGTGAAGATCCAAATGACCACTGTTGAAGACATCAAATACATTCAAGTACCCAGAATCATCCAATCAGCAATCTGTTTGTAGTGGGAGTGGGCCCTTTGCAGGTCGGGCCACGAAGCCGCAAAGAACCAGTTCTGGGATCAGACGGGATGACGTTCTACTGACGTCCGGATAGAACTCACGTTCAATCTGAAGCTTAGTGACTGACTGCAGGTGAGTGCGGATAGAACTGATCAATCTGAACTCGGTTGGACTATGTTGGTACTTAACATGACTTAACAGTTTTCACCTATTCCCACCAGCTTTTGGTTCATCTGCCTGTCGCTCTCGACTCCCCCGCACCAGTCGCTGGTCCATTCCAGGTCGCAGAGTGAAGGACTCCATCGACGGAAACGGGGCGCCCGGAAGCCCAGAGGAGGGCGACCCCGAACCAATGACTAGTCTATTTCCCCTCTTCCAAGGGGTCGAACTGGGAGACCTCTCCCATTTTTAACACACACCCACATGTAAAGAATGGGAGACCTACTCATGGTTTGGAGTTTCTGAGGGTGGTTTCTCTACCTGCTCATTGTTTCAATTGGTTTCCCACGCAAGGTTAAAATGTTAAACATTGTTAACAATATCTACTCTCTCAAACAAAGAGGTGGCTGGAAGATGAGAGCCCTTTCTACCCTAGTGAAGGCTGAGGGCCTTTTTGCCAGTTGGTTCAAATGGACAATTTTGGGGGCTCACGCTTCCTGCTGATTCATCGCCAATGCTGGTGACTCAGTCTCCAAGCACCTGATTTCTATGTTCGAAGACAGTAGAACTTTTCTCGACGAAGAACACACTTGTACGCGGATGGATGAGGGCTGAGACCGGTGAGGAACCCTCAAAACAGATCCTGCAACACCTGGACTTCTTTGAAGACTTGCCAGCAAATGCCAGCAACTTAGGAGAAGGAGCTCCACAAATCCAGAAGCAGGAAACTGTGCAGCAGACGCGACGTTAAGAAGACAGAACTAATAGACTGATTATTCGGTTGTCACTTATTATCCAGTATGGTTTTTGGCTCGTACTTATTTTCAATATGCACGCGCACCGTCGCTTAAAGAAAAAGAACAAGTAAGCTGTTGAAAGATGATACTATCAGGTAGCTATCAGCTATCAGATGCAACTGAGGAGTCTTCTGCCCAGAAATCCCAGTCACAGGTGTTCTGCATGGGATCCCGGACTTTTTAAGGGCCGTTCATTGCGCACTGTTTGGTACAGTTCTTTAAGTCTTGGGTGTTCTTTGAAGGGGTCGTACTAGAATCATGCGGGACACCACAACCAACATACTACCACACCTGCTGGCAGACTAGGACCTAGGACACTGATTCCTTTGCCTAACGACACGCATCACCTCACGACATGCATGTCACCCCCCTCCGACTCACGACGAAGTCATGATGGGTTCGATGGACCTGGGGGAAACCGAGACGACGGATGGCCCCGGGAGCGTCGAAGGAATCAGAGTATGTACGAGAAGGTGAGGTATACGAGAGGGTTCACAATCTTTGGGTTTGAAGCGGAGATGAATGAAGAACGTGATCTTTCTATGTGTGTTCATTTGGGGATGAATGAAAGGTTTCATGCAGAGAGACTAAGATACAAATGGACTCCTTTTTTCACATACGCGCTCATCGAGTCAGTAGCAGAGGTGTACCTGGCAGGAAAGAATGAAAGCAGAGTTTGTGTGTAGCAAAGTGCTCGAGGGAGGTTTAAATAAGACGCAATCTAGGAAACTGATGAAAAGATAGCATTAGAATGCATTAGAAGAGTTTTCGTCCAAGCAGGGCGAATTTGAAAGGGATGCCTGTCCCTCATATAGTGTTGAGGTAATGTCAATATGAACTGTTTCACTTCGTTGTGTCGTTGTGAGAAGTGTGCATTCAAAACTGCTGTGTTGGCCTTCTCCTTCTTGGGACTCATGCTTGGTTTCGGGACCGAAGCAAGAACGCTTCGGTTCCAAAGCCAAAGGTCTGACTGCTGCTGTTTGGCTTGGCTACGCTCAGCATAACCTGTATTTCTTCAGCTGAATTGAGAAGATTGTTTGAGGTCATGTTTACAAGTTGTGCTGAGCGTGGCCAAGCCAAAAAAGCAAAGCATTCAGACCCGGGGTTTTGGAATCAATGTCGGCGTGCGTCCCCAGAAACCAAGCATGAAGCCCAAGAAGGAGAGGGCCAACGTTGAAGTGCTGCATGTAAACTTCTAGAAACATCGAAGTACAACGTGTCCATCAATTATGACATGGCATGCACTGGGTGTGTTAAACCATCGAGAATGTGGGCCAGAGCGCAGTCTCACCTTCACAGAGTCTGGACGACTTCGCAGAGGGAGTGCATTCGGTGTAGGTCAGACCAATCAGCAACCCGACCATGTTTTTTTCGCTGAAGATCTCGGATTCTCAGGAAGAAAGAGCCCACGGAAGAAGAACAAATTTCAGTGTTGAAGACGCTTGACTGAAGGAGGAGGGAACCATGTCATTGTTTCCAGCGCTTTTGTTTCCAGTGTTTGATCATTGCATTTGCCATTTACTGGAACTAAGATGGAATCTCTCAAAAAGGTAGTGGGAAACGTGTTCTTTTTGCTGCGGGTGAGGTGTCGCGTCAGCCCTTTCAATGTTTGTTCACTGGTGGGCGCACAACCGGTCCACCCTTGAGATAATGGACAGCTATTCGGTGACTGTCGTGGATCAAGGCCTAGTTTAAACATCCACATGTCGACCGGTTTCAGCACCTCTTACGATCGTCAAACCAAACCGTTTGCGCAGGGTGTGCTGAAACCGTCTGAAACCCACCCTGCACTTACCTGGCTGCGAAGGAGATCCACCAAAACATCCACAGAAACCTTCTACAACGTGGTTGGAACGCACAGTTCCAAAGTGTGTTTCTTCGAACTGATTCTTACAACGTGGTTCTGAGTCTGATCTGTTCAAGGCGAATGATCACCACCAGGATGTTTTGGATTGTTTTGGTGATATGCGTCATTGTGATTTGTCCGGTGTTCCATCCCCCAAAAAATGCTGCAACACCAAGTTCTAGAGCCGCCAAGTGCTCTAAGCTGTGTGAAATTGTGGGCATGGATTTTGTTCAGGCGCATCATGTCGATCTCTTCTTTGAGCAGAATTGGTTGATCACGTGTGATTCAGTGATTTCTCTCCTGTAGCGGCCAAAAATTGTAGGCTGTGCTGTTTCGATGAGAACGACCTTGCTATACATGACCCTCGCGGTTCAATACTATCTAATTACTCTATGTCTAACTATTACTTGATGTAGCATCATCCATTCGTAGCACCATCGAACCAACATTTGATGTACTCCCTGTCCCGTTCCTGGTCACGACCCAGCAACCCAGCCATCCCAGGCGGATGATGGCCTTCGAACGCCGGAACCCCTTCGGTGCAGTGGCGGAAGGCGCCAGCCGGCCTTCGAAGCGGCGGGGCAGGAGTCCACTCATGTGCGTAAAGCAAATACCCAAATGGGCGAAGGCCGATTTTTTCCTATAAGAAACGGTCGGATGATTTGTCTCTATGTTTTGTGCCCTCTCGTTCTTTTTGCATGGCATGGATGGTGGTAAGACATGGTGAGACACTCTTTGGGTGGTTGGGACCGATTTGTTCGAGATTTTCTCGAAACTACAACCAACCAACCAACCGCCACCACTTTCCATGATTGGATCATTTGTCACAGTGGGTAAGAGGCATTATGGCAAGTAGCAGCATGAAACAAAAGATAGAAAAGATGGGAAATTGACCTGAACTTTTCCAGGATGCAACTTTCTTACTTTTTGGGGGATCGCTATATAGAGTTGTAGACGATGGCAGGCGGTTTCGTTGAAGGGGCTGCCACCAGGTCCCATCATGTGATATCTAACTTTGACATCTCAGAGTTCTCGCCGAGCTTCGACATGGAGATGCGCATCGAAGGAGACAAAACAACGCCTTCTGGTCCTCAGGTGCATCACCTGGTCCTCAGGAGCCAGGGAGCCTAGTCGGGCTCCGTCCCCGATCCGGTCCCCGCCCCAAACTCGGAGATCCGCAGTAGGGGTCCCATACTCGGCCGCCCGACCTGAGCGGCGAGGCACCAGCAGCTTTCATCACATCTCGACCTGCTACTTGGAATCGGCAGACGGTGAGCCGAGAGATCGAGGTAGACGGTTTCAACCAGACCCCCTGAGTGGAACAGCTGGGAATGTCCTGCTTTGTTTGTTACTCGTACTAAAAACTTCAAGAAGTTTGAGACATGCCCGTGTAGCCGACCAAATACAAAGTGAAACCCCTTTCCAAATGAGGAAAGAAATGCCCAGAATCGACTGGTGGATGTCTCGTCGTCCAGGCTGGAGAGGTAGATTTCTACGTCCAACTGGTAAATCTTGAGCTAACATCAGACAATTGAAGCATGCTGAAGCCAGTGAAGCCTTTGGATTCGTTTCTAGGCCCAAACGTTCCGAAAACGCACCGGCGGTTCCCAATGTTCGATCCTTTCTTCTGCAGTATGTCACTGTCCCAGCGTGCAAACACCTAGCAAGACATAGTGACTCATAAACCTGAATAACCTCTTTGGCAGGGGCCCCCCCCAAGCACCTATATGTTGTTGGCCTTTTTCCCATCGGAACAGTGGTCAAATGAGTTTTCAGGACAGCAAGGACTGCCAGCCCTGCTCCTTCGTGGCTCGACCCTGCTCATACATCTTCTGTCTGGGCAGCATCCTACTTCGCGGTTTTTACTTCTTTTTCCAGTAATTCGTTGAAGTTTTGCAACACACGCTCAGTTGAACAAGCCGACCCCAATTACATCCAAGATACGAGTTGACCGGTCGGAGAACGGGGAACGTCCTTAGACGCAGAGGGGCGGTCCGCGAGCACCACGGGCGACCGGTCGAGGTGAGAACAGGTGATTCTCAGTGTCCGCATGTCCCAGGTTACGAGAGACAGCAGAGGACCTTCTGATTGGGGTTTTCTGCGTGCTGAAAGAGCCCATGACAGCCAGAGCCAAGGATCCATGGGGAAGCGGTGTTTTTGGAGATGGCAAGGAGATGCCAGGATGTTGTTGCACCACCCGTGTTTGTTGCCTTTGTTGTTTGCACCACCCCTGTTTAAAAGCTTTGAGATGCCCTTTTCTTGCTGATATATACTTCCTTTATGTTTCGCAGTCAGGGAAATGACATGCCAGGTTGATGTTTCTGATACTGGGTCTACAAGATTCTAGTGTTTGTCTTGGGTTCTTGCACACTACCTCTTTAGGTGTTCAAGAGTCGTTAGACGCTGCTTCCGTCACTTCTTTGAGCACTCAACATCATGAGTTGTTTCATGTGTTCACCAATTTTGGGGGTTGTTCTCCCATTATATGACCAAAAGATGCCAAAAGCATCCAAAAGCCAGTTTTCCACCGTGTTCATGGTTGCATTACAATGACTGTCTTCCCCCCAAAGGGGGAGAAGTCCCAGCAAAGCTTGACAGCCAAAGCTTGCAGTCCGCACACGAGCAGCGTTTACTAAAAACTGTTTACTTCTGGTTTGGACTCCCAAAAGCTCTATACAGTGTTGAAGTTTATTGTCGTTGGCTAACGTGCGTCTGTTCTTGGGAAACTCCTCCGTCCATTTTGGAATGAGCGCAACGAGCCTAGTTTACTGTATGCAGAAAAGCAAACAGCAAACCTGATCACAACCCTTGTGTGCTAGGTGCCACTGCATGCTGTCAAGACTCTTGCGATGAACCATCACAAAGGTGATGGCAGAACTTCGCGCTCAAAAGTGTCCGAAAAAACAGACCACTGCACTTGCAGAGCAGGTGGACCCCATTACTGGCTGACTTGTGCGACCTGTAAGGCACTGTAGAGAGCAAGCGGGCGACCCCCCAAAACCGAGATGCTTCACTCTGCATCGATTCTCCTTTCCTTACCAGCAAAATGCGTGAGTGGTGCTAATTAAGAGACTGGGAATGGATCCAGAGTAGGGATCGTCTTATGATTCTCTCCAACAGATCCTGCTGGTTTCCTTTCAGGCTTTCGAGATCCACTAGTGAGAGGAGAAGAACAGCGACACCAAGCCTCGCAAGTCGCCCAGGAGAGAAACGCGAGCCAGTGAACCCAACATGCCAGTCCAGTATGGTCAAGAAAGGATGGGAAGACTTGCAAAGTATGGACATGATGCAGAAGGACTTGGTGCAGACATGGATGTTTTGAAGCCAACCTGGAAGGCATCCGAGCGGCAAGAGAACATCTGGATGGCGCCAGGAACTCAGTGTGAGGTTGGGAAGGAGTCATTTATATGGGCTGTCTTCACTTATCATTCCTGGTGTGGGTTGAGATCTAAGAATAATCAATTATATAGAACTTCGAACTTAACTTATAAAAAAATCCAACAAGCTAGAAGCCAAGCGTTCCAGATGATTCCAGATGCCAAAGAAGGTCACGGTAGTGGTCACAGTCTCTTGGGCAGGGCCACTGTCCTTCGCACGATCAACTGGAATCCCACGATCAATTTGAACTGACAGAAGTGAGTGAATCAACAAGGTCTCAGCCTAGAATCATGTTGACATCACTTACTGCTGCAGACGCATGGAGCCGACAACGACAATGCTAGTGGCACATTGTGACAATCTCATGGGTTTCTACATCTGCCTTAGCTTTTGCTATGTGACAATGTGATACAATTTGGTGTACATGTGTACATGTGACATGTGTGTTTACTCTTCCCAGCTGTGCTCCATGCGAACGGAATGGCCTGGAAAACGCCATTCACAATGGATGGCATAGGCAAAACCATACACGAAACGTGTGGAGTATTGGCATGAACCTCCGAAACGTCGAGGTCGGTCACGAAACACGCCTTCCACGTCGCCGTCGCTCCCGGTACTCGACGACCCGAAGGCCCCGGAGGCTCCGAACCGCCTGGTCGGCCGTAGGCGGCCGTGGTGCTGTTGCCGCGGTGTTTTGGGAGGTCTTGTTTCAAGGTCAGATGTGCGTCAAGAGTTTGGTGAAAGCCAAGCGGCGGGTGCTTGTGTATGCTTGTGGATGCTGTTTTCGGGAAACCAGAAATGAAGGCGAGGATGAAGGATACCAGGCAAGGTCCTGAGTGAATGGACCATCAAGTGCCAGAGCAAGTGACGGTGCCATCTTTTGTGCGGTATTCTTTTTTTGGAATCCTGAAGGAAAGCGTGAAAGAGTTCATTGGAACACAGCCCTTCTAATTGCTCAAGGTGCGCCTAGTATCTTCGGTTTAGACAGAATGGAACGACCTCAGTTTGACGTGATGGTGGTGATGGACGTTTCCGGGAGTATGCGTGGACAACCCAATCAGGATGCGTGTGAAAGAAAGCGTAATGGAAATCTTTACGGACATTTTGTCGGATGAGGATTCCATCGGCCTCGTGATCTTTAACAACGAGGTCAAAGAGCTCCTTCCTTTGAGCTCCAAGAAGGACTTGCGTCTTCCCATGATGTCGGCCTTAATGAAGGGCATCACGTGCGAAGGGCAAACCGCCTTGTGGGACGGTCTCTATGCGACTTGGATCTTGAACATTTGCTTTTTGAGTCCGCAGAAAGAAAGGTTTGCTTTCGGTTAATGGTTTGTTTTACATGTGTCCATTCGGGTTTGCGGGCTCCATTTTATTTGAGTCCCTTGTGCGTGTGTGTGTGTGTGTTTGTTTTGAGTCGTTCCGTGTTTGTTTTCGTATCAAGCGTCTGGTTTGGTCCGAGGAGGGCTTCAAGCTCCTTTGCAACCGCAAACACCAAGATCATCATCCGTACCTCATCGTTGTCACGGATGACAGGGACAACGCGAGCAAGAAGAAGAAGAAGAAGAAGGAGGAACGGGATCAAAGAACAAGCAAAACCCAGGCACTCCAACATGGAGGGCATAAATATTCCAATATACTCTTCAATGAAAACCCAGACACTCCATGTAACAATGCCTAGCTTGAGCGATATGGATTCACTGACTCGCTTGTTTTTCAGGAAGTGCGGGACACCTTGGCCAAGCCAGGGGAAGCGGGCTTCAGAGGGACACAGGCCTCGAACTTCCATATGGACTTTCTCACCGTGCCTTAGCAGCCGTCCAGCATGTCCATGTCCGTTCCGAGAAAGCTTCAAGTCATACAGGCATGCCATGGCCCTACGTTGAATATGAACTTCAAAAGCACTTGTGATTTTTCCAGCTCCACTGCTTAGGTTGGTGCCAAGGCAGACCAAGAAGGGGCCAAGGAGCTTTGCAACCTGGTTGCCTCTAGCGAGTGTTTTTGAGCCTTGTGATGCGCAAACCTGACCATCCTTCAATCGGGTTTGGGGTTCTCAAGTTTACATGGACTAATGCAATGCTCTCCCAAAGCAAGCCTTTTGTCCAGCTGTGTGCAAACTCCTGCACCAATGACCGTTCTCTTAGGTTGCAAAGGGCACATGAAGCACCTTCATGCGGCCACCACAGCAGAAATCCGCTCCACCTTCAGGCAATTCATATGAGATCTTCAAGGAACTTATCAGTTTGCATTCTGGCCGACCCACCTTGTTCTTTTTCCACAGAGATTGCTGTTTACCACCAGGTTTGTGTTGCAGAGACCTTGCGGTGCGCCGCATCAACGAGATCGAACCTGGCGCTGTGAAGAGAGGCTTGTCCAAAGCGAAGACGAGCAGTTTCAGACGTTAGTCGTGTGGGGAGGTGGAACACCTGGAAAAGCCACACCACTCAGTTGGACTTCAACTCTATACATAGAACGAATGACCCAATGATCATCATTCAAGTGCTTTGAGAGTCTTGAAGGTCAAAGGCAAAAGGATAGTATTTTTGTGTAATGTTGGATCATGATTAGTAGATGTGATTCTCCCCCTAAACACATTTAAGGGCCTTTATAATAAACTACCACCAAAACAAATCTGGGTTGGGTTCCTGGGAGGATTCCATGTTGTAATGTATTATAGTATTCAGGTTCTTTCTTTTCAATTCATAGATTATAGACTTATAGTTATTCATGTTCCTTCTCTGGTTCTTTGTAGATATTCTCAGCAATCCTTTTGTACTAGTTACTAAGAAGAGGACAAGAAAGGTTCTCAGGTTTTGCGGCTTTGCAGAAGAACTAGAGAAACCTTATTTACTCTCAGCAGGCCAGCCATTGGCTGAGTAGTATTAAGACATACTAAGATTGTATTAAGACATTAAATGTTGTTCCTCTGTTTTTCTGTTTTTTTGGGGGGGGCGCAGCAGGGTGTAGCCGTGGCACTGTTTGCATGGCCCGGTTCGCCGCAATAAAACCAAGTCCCAGGTTCACGGCCTGACACAAGTGGGGGGATTGGGGATGCCATTTCTCGGATCTCGGTGAGACCGCAGACCATGGACGTAGTCCCGAGTGGACGGGTCAGTGATGTGTCGACGGACAGCAAAGCCTGGCATCCAAACGAACTAACCACAAAAAAAAGTAACATCTTGTCCAGTCTGCACGTGGATGAAGTCAGTCAAGAAAGTGTCCACCCCATCGTTCAAATCCACCTGAATGAGTGACCATGCTGACCAAATCAAGTCACAGGCTAGTGCAGAAGTACGCCTGAGCTATGTTCAAACTGGGAGGTCTCCTGTCTCCCAATTTTAATACACCACCCACATTGTTATCAAGTCATTTAGTCCTTTCATTGCTTTTCAGTCCGGGCACCCCGACTGTGTGAACCCACTTGCTGAGGAAAAGCGCTCAAAACGTGCCCCTGCGGGTGCTGGCATTGCCGCAGTGATGGGCCTGCGGGAATCTCCAAGGCGTCGTTTACATTCTTTGCCAAAGAATGCAAAAACCCAGCTATGTCGTTTCTTCGGCACACCAGGCGAGCATCCAGTGACCAGTATACGGATGTATACAGTACATTTGCCAGACTATATACGTTATAATTAAGGTGCCTACCCTATGGAAGCGTGTTCGAAAGATGCACAATTTGGTGTATCAGTTCATGAGCACTGCCTATATTCATTCAGAAAGTGTTCTTTTGTGGGAGTATCGCAGTTTGGTTTGCCCCTGTCGAGGTGGATGCAACGAAGGTGCAGATTGCAACTTTGCCCATGGTGAAGCAGAGCTACGGGGTCCACCAACGGCTCTGCCTGTCATGCGAAGAACCGACAGTGGCATTCTTCCGAAGAGGAAGTTGTGCGCCTTTTTCGGAACACCAAAGGGGTGCCTCAAAGGTGACAGCTGTGATTTTGCACATGGAGAAGCAGAGCTTGAGGGTACACCTGGAACACCAACAACTGCCACCTCCAGTCCTATGAGAAGATGTGACAGTGACACCATGTTAGGACATAGAGCCGCGGATTCCGCTCGCTCCAAGATCCGTCCTTGCACTTTTTTCAACACACCAAAGGGATGTCGAAATGGCCGGGCATGTGGTTTTGCCCATGTACGTGGAGCTGGTGCTCCCGGCGCACATGCCCTTTTGACGGGACCCAGGGCGGCCCCTCCTGGCCGTGGAGCTCGTCCTACACCCTCGCCTCGACGCAAGAGGTAATTAGGTCGCACCCAAAAAGATTGGGGGAACTGGTGCAACAAGAGCAATAATTGGGGACCAATGGCTTGTCCAGTGTGTATCGTTTTCCTCATGACCAAATGGTTTCTTTGTTGGGACCCTTTTTCTGAACCAGAGCCACTTGCCGTGCTGCTAGCTCAAGGTCCTGTACAGTTTAAGACCTGCAAATACCTGCAATATATTGTCCACTGGCGGTAAAGAGGGGTTTTTCCTTGGCCACTCTTTCCGTGGATGGTTTCGCAAGACTGTTGGCAAGACGTCAAAGCTGGAAAAGTGTAGTGACCCACTCTTGCACTGACATAGGGGCCTTTCCTATGGTTGTCACTGCAGAATGTGTCCTTCATGGAGCGCTTGGGGAAGGGAAAACGCCGGAGAAAACACTCGGCAGTGGCTGACAGTTGTAGCGCGCCATGTTACGACTGTCAGCCTGGGCAGATGGATACCACGACGCCCTTCGAGGCCTCCAGCTGCACGAAGTCGACCTGATCGAAGCTGTGAAGTTGGGCCTCACCACCAGGCTTCCCAGGATTCCGGAAGATTCCAGGTGGCCAAGGTCTTGAAACAACGAACGAACATAGAAAGTTCTCCAAGGGTTCTATGATTTTCTATGGTCCATATAGTCTTTTTAGCTGACACCTGCACTTGTCATCATATGCCCATCAACGTTCAAGGCAAAGAGCTAACGAATCTGAGCGATACGGATGCGTTCCTTTTTCTGAAAAATATGAGTCCCCCTGAAAACAGAAAGTGTTCCTTTGGAATCAAAGACCTTTTCAGTTTGAGGCAATGGACTCTCGTGCAAACTCTGGGAGCTTCGAGAGGTTGACGCTGGCTGGTCGATGGGAGCATCCAAAGTCCGTCCACATCCTGAGACGGTGCTGGGTATGTATTTTAACTGGATAAAGTGTGTGTGTGGGTTGCATGTTTTGCTTGGTTGAGGTCAACATCAAAAAACTCGAAAAACGTCCAAATCACTCTCAAATCACAATGATACTGCAATTGCTCTCATGTCACCAGATGTGGTCAAGCAGTTTCTTCTCTCCCCTGTCACGCATTCCAGTCACTGAGCCATCATTCTCAGTGAGTTTGGGATGAACATGGGCGAACAAATAAACGTCCCTGTCACACCCCAAACTGAGGATATCCTAGCATTTTTTGAGTTAGAGGGATGATAAAATATCCCCCACGATAGGTTCATTACGGGTTTTCCATCTACTTTGGAGCCGGACCCACTTGCTACCGAATGGAGGCCCACTGCTCTCCGTCACGGCCGCAAGGCGAAACGCCACAGCACCCTGGCGAAAAACATTGGCGTTTCTGACATTGCCGAGGGCCGCAAAAACCGTGCGGAGGTGCAGAAGCCGAGACGACAGACAGAGAGACAGACGGAGAGACAGACAGACAGAGACAGAGACAGAGACAGAGACAGAGACAGAGACAGAGAGACAGACAGAGAGAGAGAGAGAGACAGACTTTCCATGGGTGTGTAGAAACTATAAGAATGCAGCAGGAGTTCCATGTCGGGGCGCCTATTGGAGGATCCACAAGTTGGGAATTTAGTTGGGTGTATGATGAGACCAGCAGTGTGCTTGATTCATGATTGCCCAAGAGCAGACTTGAATCCAATTTGGTGGTGCATGCATGACTCATGATCAGAAAGCGTCATTTGGTAGTGGGAGGAGATGAATTCCTACTGATGAGATGTTGGAAGGATTCCTTTTTGTGGAGACAGCCCCAATTGCTTAGAATCACAACAAGGAACCCAAGGCCTTCTCCCGCAGCTACAACTCTGCTCGCTTGCACACAACAGACATGACAAAAAGGCAGCTGTTGAGTTGTTCTTACAGGCAATCGACTTCGCACAGGTAGGAGTAAATTCCTTGGTAGCTGAGTTTGTGAAGCTTCAGCAGTTCCTCCATCTACACCATTGAGGAGTTTAAGGTAGACTATCTTGCTGGCAAGTTGCCGTACGGGCCTTTCTCGCGCCCTTTGAGTTGGTCCCCTTTGAGTTGGTCCATCATCCACATGTCCGAGGGACACCAGGAGCAATTTGTCGAAAGAATCACAGAAAAAATAGAAAGGCTACGGAACGTTTTGTACCCAGGAAGGTCATGAAATCTGTTATTATGTATACTATTACAAGTACTATTACATATACGTACAAGTCAGGTGTAGTGGGAATAACAGCAGTATAGTCAGCAGTATAGGACTCTCAATGCTCTCTGTACTCTAGGACACTAGGGAGAAAGAGGTCACCCGAGACCACGAATCGTGTGTGTGTGATGGGGCGGATGGAGGCATCCTGACGAGTGCCCCGCAAAAAAGAAGTGGTTCACTGGCAATCTCCAGTCCAGAGAGGTTTAGTAGAGATTCAATTCTAACCGACCAGCATGAAGGATGTTCAACCAGACCGACTGAGCCGACTGAGCTGCGACCGTGAAGGACCCTCCCCAAAACCACGGGTCGATGCCACAGTGTTCGGATGTCACAAAGGAAGATGGATGCACTGGGTCATATCAAAGAGTGCAGGTTGGGCATAGGGCATCTCTTGGATATCGGATTTGATGAAACCTAAACCACCAAGAACTTGGTGCACCTCGCAGAATCACTCCATCCGAAAAACGTTGGCGGCTGTCACGGTCAGGAGAACGCCTCGTACGTGGAACTGCCTAGTCTGGAGAACCTGGATGCCTTTGCGCGACGGGTCTATTGCGCCCCATCTGGCAAATTCAGAGAATAAGTTGACCACGTTTGCTGTAGGAGAAAAGTACGTAGAATCCCTTTCCTCAACAATCGTGGAACAAGGTCCCTCCTCTTCAGGCCGTGGATTTTGTTCCTCTCAAAGCAGGTCATGTTCAGCTTGCGTGATTGCCCATCATTTGTTGTTTGCTGCTGACGTCTCACAAATATCATCAAATGTCTAGCTGTCGCCCCGGAGATGGCTGTCGCCTTTGTTGGCAAACATGGGTGAACATCAAAATACCAAGCTGGTTGATCCTTTTGGGTTCTTCCTTGCCTCATGAGTTTGACTCCTCACCGCTTTCACAGGAGATGAACAAATATATGTTATAGTGGGCCATCAGATTCGATGGCACAGGCCGCATGATGTCCTTGAGATGGGGATCCATATAAACCACCGGCATTGGGGTCTGTGCCATTGGTCCTCTCAATCCACTATAACATATAATTGATGTACAAAGCAACTCCATCAATGAACAGCTCAAGAATGCCAGCAAAGCGAGGCAGCAAAAGGGTTGAGTTGCATAGTAGGGGCATCCTGATCCTCATTCCTCATGGATCGAGAAGCTTTTGGTACAATTGCTCGGGCTTGGACTGAGGCTGCCTGCCTTTCCTCCTGGTGACCATCGTGCCCTTCTTCGCCGCATTCTATGCCCTCATCCCTGAGGCTGATCCCAGCAGTTGTCAAAGATGGGTGCTTGGGATATAGATTGACACCACTGGTCACTAGTCTGTCTCAATATGTCTAAATTGATCTAAATTGTAGATGTCTTCATCTCAGAAACTCATTGTAGTTAGTGTTCTCGCACCCATGTTTGTCTCATCATGTGCGGTTTCTCAGATCTCAGGGGACCTTCAAAAAAGAACCGTCAAAACATGCATGTTGCATGTTGGATGTTACACACCAAATCATCCACTCTTCAGCTCTGAGCCGCAGTCCCTGGCCCATGTTCGGCAAACTGGCGAGGGTCCAGGGTCCAATCTCCTGCAGCTTGCTGAGTAGCATGTGCCAGCAGAACACATCCTTTGAGCCGAATGATGTTGGATCCCCACAGTTTCTTCACAAGCTGCAGCAATACACTCCCCTGAAATCATCATGGGCGTGGATGGCAGTTCGCCCTTCGTTGGCCATGAAAACCGAAGACCAAACAGGTGGTGAACTTACTCACTTCACGTTGACCCATGATGAGTTCAAGGAGTGTATTGCTGCAGTTCCACCAATCCACCAGTTTTCCCTGGTCGTCGCCGTTTCCCCCTTGCTGCAGAAGGTCCACTGCCCGGACGGGAGTGTTTAAAGTGGACCGATCATCCAGGGACGTTGGTGGATTTAACTGGAGACACTCTACCTTGCAAGCCAAGAGCTTGCGACCAAACTGCAGGGCCCCCAGTTCTATATTGATGTCCTTGGCTCAAACACTCCCTGAAATCAATATGGGCCTGGCCGTGGAGTGAGTTCACCATCGGTTTGGTCGCCAGGAGGTCGGAACCGAGTCTTCTGGGTGTCATCCACAGGGCAGGCCCATGAGGATGTCATATTTCTCATTGTGAAGTGCAGTAGCCAGGAGTGTCAAAGGGGTGCTATCTATGGAGTACCTAGTCGGGGTGCCCATGACCCACCCACTGACTGGATGGGACGAGCCACACCACCCCGTCTTGTGACCCCCTGGAGATTTGATTCTCTTCTCCACTTCGTCGTTGGAACGCGCCGACTTGGCATCGACACATCTCCGACCGCAAGGCCTCGACAGTGCCATGGTGGGTCTTCCTGGTGGGCGCTGGTGGCTGGTGGCTGGCGTTGCTTCTGAGATTCCCGGTGATTCTGGGATCCAAGGCGTGATCTCAGATGGTAGATGCTTCCAGTTGGTGTGCGCATGTTTCTTTGGCTCGGTGCTTTGGGGGGAGCATCCAACAACCGTGTTTTGGTAAGGAGTTGTTTGAATGCAGTATTCTAGTTATGGCCACGTTGAAACCAAACAGTTTTTCAGTGTCCAGGCAGTTTTATTTGCTGATTCAATCTCCAGCTAGCTGTGGGAATGTCCCGATGGAAGCCCTATCCCACTGCGCAGGATAGAGTGATTTGTTGAAGCTTAGGGCCCAGGGATCTCAATGTTAATGGAAAACAGACATTCCCTCATCAGACTCATCAGAGGGAGTCATGTTGTTTGCGTCGCAAATTGTTCGGAAACATTTGGAAACTAGAGATTCATCCAGCTGGCAAACGCTGGCCCAACACTGGTGGCTCACCTTGACCGATCTTCAACCTGTTACTGTATGTCAGCTTTGCTTTGGATCAGGAACGACTTACACTGAGAAATGCAATCTACCATAATCTACCAACTACCTGACACGCTTGGAAGATGTCTCTCTTTTGCCATGCGTGTACGGTGTTTTTGATTGTAGTACCATAGTCAGGATCTACACTCATGAACCGACCATGATCACCGAAAAGTCTTCGTCCATGTTCACCGACCATGATAGTTCATTTGTGCAACTCATGCACCTCCTGAAACCGCACAATACACATCAAAAAAGCATCAATCGCAATCGCGATGTGCTTCTTCTCGCCTCCAGTCCTTTGTTTCGGTGCCACGAAGTCGTCCTTTGTCTGAAACGAAGTCGTCCTGTCCTCGGACCAGGCGGCATTGAAGAACAACTCCAATGCCCAGTCCTTATTGCAGACCATCACAGTGCTCATCTCAGGACCTGCGGAGGTGCAACATCCGAATTCGTTTGCTGTTGTGGAGTTGGGCTGTGCAGTGGATGTGGCAAGAAAAGAATGCTACAACCATCTACAACCTACAGGCTTTGTCGTGATCTCCATTTACAAGAGACTTACATCGGACTACGGTACCCATGGGCACCCGATGTTCGAAGTGCCGAAATCATGGATCGATCGTGATCGAGTGATCGCAAGGGATCGACTGTGAGAGGAAGGTGATATCGATGTCACACTGTCCTTTCCATTGGTTTTGACACCCTTCATGTGTTTAAAAATGCAGAGACTTCCCGTCTCAACTCCCTCCTTGAGCGATGCCTTGGAGTCTCATCGAAAAGCAGGTCAGTTGCATCTGACCTCTCAGTGAGTCTTCCCTCCGCAAACGCAGGAGGCGATTCGCATCGCTTTCATCTTTGCTTTTGGCTGGTCCTTAAAGGTGCCCCACATCTTCGCGCTAGGCGCGGTGGTTTGGCGCTCGAGCGAAGGTGGAGGTGGAAAGAGGCTTGCTTTGGGGTTGGTGACCGCCTGCGTTCTCACATGGAGTGACTGCTATGATTTGGTTCATTTGCTGGAGCAAAGTGGGGAAGCTCCTCGGTACCGGTGTTTCGTCGCGCTTCGTCACCGTCGGCGGAAACGCAGAGGACAAAGTGGTGGGGGGACAGAAGTGAAACTCTGAGAGAAGCCCAATGAAGCCCACAGACCACACAATGACGCACCCTGGCCTGTGTTGGTTTTTGCTGTATCATCGCTGTTACGTGACCCACCTATACAGAATGGTACGCCTTTGACAGGACATTTATAGCTACCGAAGGCCTTTCAGCCTTCAGGTCCATTCGGATGCAGCCGTGCTCATTCTTGGACATCCGCCTTGGACACCAGAATTTCGGAGCCCCTCTCAGCTCGGACGATGAGTGTGACTGATCTTACTTGCTGAAAACGACTCACAGATCGATCTTCATCCTTCCAAACTTCTTGGACACGAAAACTCTGATATGCATTCTCAAATTCTGATGTTCAACTCAAGTTGACACTCATCCTTCCAATCTTCATCTTCCAAATTCCTCAAATCTCCTTCAACTCCCTTCATCCGGAGATCGCCATCTTTTGTGGGTCAACACTCTCAGTTTCGGGCTACGAAACTCCTGTTTCCAGCTACCTTAAACACCCGTCTCCAGCTTTTAAAAAGGCACCCGTCCCTATGTCCCTATATGTAGAACTTTTTTTTCGGTCTTCCAAGTGACGTTGTTCACCAGGCTTGGGTTGGACCAGCTTGGAGCTCCTCTTCACCCTGGTGCAATGCCTGGCCACGATTCAGCTGCTCCGCGGAGTCCAACAGGGCGACGCCAAGGCTGTCGAGGCGGGACGTTTGCAGGACGAACGGAGCGGTTGGCGGAACGGGAACCGGACGGATGGACCGCGATGTCTGTCGGATGGAACCGAACAGGACCGCGTTTTTGTGTTTTTAAACTTAACGGTTTAGGGGTTTAGGGGGTTGGGAGGGAAGGGGTTGAGTCATTGGAGGGTTTTGGTCTTCAGCCCCCAAAAATCAGCCAAAAATTCCGTTGGATGCGGAGTTGAGGTGGGAGAGAATCTCACAATGAGGTAGTTAGAGATCGGAAAGAGGAAAGTGGAAGAATGTTCCTTGCTGGGTGTCTCTCCAGTCTGAAGTCAAAAGAAGAAATAGATGGCAATAGCAAGAAATACGAATGGAGATGATGGGTTTACTGAACTCGGGGAAACCACAACCCGTGCAACGCGCGCAACGCGCGTGTCATCTCGTTCAGAACATGTCGCATCCACAAAGTCGTAGATGTTCAAAGAAGGTAAGGCTTGCCTCACTCACTCAAAGAAGTGTTTGAGCAATGGCATGGCGGGTAAGCGCGGTGGTTGTTTGCGGTTTCAAAGTGGGAAACAATCGTGGCATGTTTTTTCAGATCATTTTGTCCCTGACGCTGAGACGACTAATGTGTTGCTTTTGATGCCAATCGCATTTGGGAAAAGAGATATGTGTGCATCGACTATAGTGACTAGAGAAAGCGGTTGATCACTTGATCACTGAAGATGCTATCGTGGCCTAACTATGAACTTCCACAGGCAGTTTTACTTGCACCATCTTGCACCGTTTTGCACCTCTTGCGCCATCTTGCACCCCACTGGCGTGGAAGCTTTTGTGAAGTTCGGCCATAAAGCGTGATAAAAACAGTCAGGTCCACAGGTTTCTGTAGAGTGGTTGCACGTCTTCCTTGTCCATGGTCCGAGTCCATGGCAATTGAATTCAATGAACAGATTGTAGAACTGGAAGAACACCGGCCTCTAAGTGCCCAGCAGGAGACCAGAACCAGTACCAGAACCACAATGGAGGTTGAGTAATCATATTACGTTACAAACATACCGCCTATAATGGTACAAGTCTATGCTCCTGGTTTGCTCCATGTTTGTCCTACCAGTTTGATCCAGCTTCCAAAGACCTCCCGATTCCGATGTTTCTTTGACTTCAACGTGACCATCCGTCCGATTCCGCGTTCCGCGTCCCATCTACCGCGACCCGCGACCCGTCTACCGAGGCCTTCCAAGTCCTGGCGGCCCAAACGGGCCGCAGCGATCCCTTGTCGGTGGACCCTTTCTGGGGTGTTTTGGAGCGGTGCAGCGCGCATCTCATCCACATCGCCATGTGCCTTGGGAGCCGAGTGCAGAGCGGAGTGCGGGCGCGAGGGAGCGAGAAGACCTGAGAGTGTTGGAATTGCCAGGAGTTGCATTGCGGCGACGATCAGCGACTGACGCTACTCGAGAACCAGCGCACCCAGTGCAACG